TTAAAACTCGGAGCTGCTGTAAACAAACGGGAAATATAAGTCCATGTATAATACGTAACTCGCGCCTTACTCTACTTGATTCGCGCGTATAACTCGTATTATATACGCACACTCCGCGCGTTGCGAAAATGACTTTCGTCCTGTACTCTCATTATTCTTTACAAATGCTGCCGCTGCTGGCGGCGGAGAGCAGCTCGAGCTATGACTTTTCGGTCACAATTTGCATGCGAAATTGCGAAAAGCTGGGAATATTATGTATTTTAGCGCGCGTGGCCCAAAACTCGTGCCGCGCCGCGCGCTACTCGCTGTAGTCCGACACGCATGATTATGAGAAACGTAATTTTTCGGATATAGTATGTAAAGTTGCAGCTACAGCAATGGAAATCCCGTAGCGCGTAAGCAGTGGCTACTTTTCCCCGGGAAGCATCAAATTGGCCGCTGCTGCTCATGCTGCTGCTGCTGCTGTTGCTGCTCTAGAGTACAAAATTTTCGGGCATGGATAAAATGAACGTTTTCACATAGTTGAGTCCGAAGTTAACGTCTCTGACTTTTCGTGTGTGTGTGCAATAACTCGGAACTGAGAGAGAGGGAGAAGAGAGATACGTGTTGGCTCATATTTTACATGCTCCGATCGCATTGTGAAGCAGAAATTCCTCGAATGGATTTTGTAACTTTAATAAAATTGTTATTAGCTACGTCGTATCGGTTTATCGAAAGATCGTAATTGTTACAGCTCGGGCAAGATTAAAAGCTAATAAAGATATACGTGATTTACTATTTTCAATGCTTGACCCCCCATTAATTGAATTTCTCGTTGCAGGGCGCATAATTAATGCAACAAAACCGAGTCGATCGTCGAAACGTTCAGCCGCTCGGCGAAAAGTCGAATTGCGAGTATTTTTTGCCTTACTTCGCGAGCAAATATATCGAATTACGCGGCTCGTCGCACGACGATGCAACTTTACTGGTCAACGCAACAATCGTCGTACACATGCTTCACTCGTATATTGTACTAGTGCTGCGTCGCAGTCGCAGTCGAGCTATAAACTCGCTCGTTTTTCTCTATCAATTATAAAAGGTTTTAAGTAGTCGTGGAATGCGATCGGCCGTACGTATTCATATAGCAGCAGCATGGGGCTGAGGTATATTCATGTACTGCATATGCTGCGCACGGCTCGTACATTATGCTCGAGGCACGGAGATCTCGTGATTGACGAACGCGTCGAGCTCGAGTCTCTATTCAACGACGACGACGAAGACGACGACGATGACTGTACGGTACGACTCGACGACGAGGCAGATTCCTCTGAAAGCGACACCGAATTCCCAGCGCTTGACCCCGCGCGTTAACCTTCTCTATATGGACTCGAGTCGTCGTCGTCGTCGTCGTCATAGTCGGCGTCCAATTGAATTCGTCATTGTAAACGTCACGATAATAATGCACCGCATGCATGCATACGTACACATATGCAGCACTGTGCGAAACTCCCGTTTGCGAGTGACTGCCGCCGCCGCCGCTGAGTATACAGCCGAGTGTCGTCGTAGCTGCACAGGATGACGATGATCCGATCGTGCGTGCACTGCTGCAAGTCGCGCGCCTAAGACACCAGAGAGAGCCGAGAACGATGACAAAGACGATGAGTTTCGCGTGGGATTGACAGCACGAGCGAGTACACGAATACGCTGCATGTATGTAATAACAATGTGCGTAGACGTATGAGATAGTAAGTAGATTATACATACGTTATCGCGGAGGAGATAACTGACGTGTTTTCGGTAATTCGTACAAACAGGATTGGTTCGCTGTATATGCTTCTACGAGTGAAATCATTATCAGACCAGCGAGATAATGCAATTTTTTTCTTGACGTCGCGTGCACGCGGACACAACAACGTATACGCATCCCATCACGCTGGTCGCTCGCGCGCGAGCCTCGCACAGCTTTCGTGTTTGTTTTAGCTTATTACTGGGTCAACACGTGCCGAGCATAAACACCAAAAGAGAGGGAGAGAGAGGGCAAACATTTATATTCTGCAATATTCTCCATTATATATTAATGCCCATACTCTCGTCCGGCGGCGGCGGCGGCTCCGGGCACATGCTTTTATGTACGTTTTCCCGCGAGCGAGCTTGCGGAGAAAAACTTGTAATGCGCTTCGAGTATGCTAATGTATGCATAAGCGCGGCGGCGGCAGCGGCAGTGGAGGGGCCAGTGTGTCTGATTTATGGACAGAGCATGAGGGGGTGGAGGCGGACACTGCACGCGTTCACTAGTTATTATACGGCAAATATTGTAAGTAACGAGACACGATGGCCGAAATTTTATCGCTTCTTCTTGAACGAACTGCTGCTGCTGCGACGCGTGTTTTCAATCGCTCTGCCTGCATAATGGTATAATATAAGGCGTCGCGTCGATGTGTTGGTGCATGCTCATAAAAAGACGGTGACGTGATTAACTTTTTGGAAAATGACTAATCAAAGAGATAAGGCAGTAATGATTGTTTATAATAATGGAATTAACGAGCTTACAATCGCGTATACGTTTATTTTTTTGCTATTTTGTTTGCCACAACTCAAGTCAGTGTCGCTTTTGAGCAGGTGCACGCGAATAGCCATAGTCTATACACAAATAGTGTGAGAAAGAGAGAGAGAGAGAGAGAGAGAGCTGAGGCAAGCATTAGTTGCACAATAGTCACTGCGTATAAAGTCGCGCCTGTTGGTGTATAAGCGTCAAGCGCAAAAGCGACACTCGAGAGCTAAGAAGAGTCGAGTCGGCCTCGGCTCGCTGTACACACATACATCTGTATAGCCTACGTGTGTAGGTGTGTGTGTGTGTGTGTGTAAGAGAGAGAGAGAGAGAGCTGCAAACTCACATATACTGCAGTCGTGCACATGAACGTACAATGACAGAAGACGAAGGAGGCAGAGCGAGAGAGAGGAGTGCGAATTTACGCGCGTCGAGAGAGAGAGAGAGAGAGAGAGAGAGAGGGAGAGAGGAAGAGAGGAAGAGCGAGTGTTTACGGCAGCGAGTAAAGCCCTAGGAGACTACCACTACTGGCTTGGTGCATTAACGCAGAGACAATGCCTCGAGCTTGGCTCTTTAATGGTGATGTCTTCTCTCTCTCTCCCTCTGAACCCTCTCTCGCTCATGGCCTGAGATGGACTTGAAGCTCTCCTTAGGTTATATGCTACGTAGGAGCACTGCTGCTCCCTGCTGTCTATATACTATATCTTATATACTCAGCGCGCGTGCAGACTATATACCGAGAGAGAGAGAGAGAGAGAGAGAGAGAGAGAGAGAGAGTTTCTGACGTTGAATTTCGGATTTGCCGAGTTATATACTCTCTGGACGAAGAGGACGGCGACGACGACGACTACGAGTGCATTCGGTTTTCGGCTCGAGAGGCTTTGGCCCGATATAGAGAGAGTCGAGGCTATATTTATGTATATAGGTAACGCTGTTATGTACCGATGCTATCTATATGTATGCCTGAGCTGTATATACCTAGTGGCTCGTCGGATTGATTGGATTTTGATGTCGGAGATGCGCGTTACAACGTGAAGCTTTTTTAATTTCCACCGCCACCACCACCCCCCGTCGCTCGTCTCGTTGTAATGGATAGTAGTAGTAAACCGACCCTGAAGCACTGCGAGGCTACTTACTGACGCTTCTCTCTAAAAAGATACTCTTTTTCTCTCTTTTTTCTTCTCTTCTTTTTTTTTCTTTTTCTTCTCTTTGTCTTTGGGCGCTCGCGTACTCGCGCAACTCATTTGTAATAAACGAGTTTCTGATGTACTTCTCGGCTACTGATCTCGAGCGCCGCTGCTGCTGTACGCGAGCGTGGTGCGAGCTTTTTTGCCACCTTTTCAGCTTTTATACGCTGCTGCTGCTTTCTGGCGTCGAGGAAGTTAAGCAAACATCTTGAAGGCATCTCTTGCTAGCTTTTGATATTCTTCTGGGATGATTCGAAAATAAGAGCGATGTAACGTCGCTCTGGGTCAGCTTGATAAATTGCGAAATAATTCATTACAGTCGAGTTTAATGAATTCGTTCGAAATCGAGCTTGCGTCTCTTTATGTATTTGGCAGTTGCCAACGTGCCCACGTGCGTACATATCGTTTTGACTCTTCACTATATATAACACAATAGACGTGCTCTGTGCGAGTATAAAGCGATGAATGGCCAATTAGCGAGACATCAGAAGCAAATGCTTTGGTGAGCACAGATCAAAAGTCATGCGGCGAGTCAAGAGGTACACTCTTGTTTTGCTCGCCCCCGCAGCAACTTCCCCGCTATACGCGTGCATCGAACAGACAACGATCATCGTCCGTATATACTAGTCCCATCGATTTTGCCTAATTCTTGAATAAATTCCAGCGCGTTAACGTTTGAGCTGCTGTGTGTACTGCTGCACGTCGACTGTCACACATACACAAACGAGGCACGTATTTATACGTACGGGGCTTCACCTGCGCCGACACACGCACGTGCGCGATGAGATCGTAAAAGGCGAATTTGTTATATGGACGCGCGCAATGGTCATGCTACCGCGGGAGCCGTTAAAAGAAGTACCATTGCCGTTTTTCCTCGCCCCTTAATGGTACAAAGTTGCAGCGAGATACACGGGTGGTCGCGTTAAGCCGTTAACGAGGCGAGAAAGTGAGCGAGGCACTATTTGTTCCAACCTTGGACTGTTTGTTTTTTTTCTTTTAGACTGGTGAAAATTTCACCGAAAAAAGAGGGATAAGTGCGACACATTGAGAAAAAAAAGAAACGCACACGCATTATTATCGCAGCTGCACGTGCAGCTCACCTGTCGGCCGGACGTATCGAATTATAGATAGCTTAATTTCATGTTTATTAGGCCATTAAGGCTCTCTCGAGCATTATCTCATTTTTATCAGCCCGAATAAACGTTATCTCACTGTCATTTTGGCAGTGTAATTTAGTCGCGGTTCGATCGTGTCGCCAAGAACACGACCGGGACGCGCCTACAGTCATGAGTAATTGCTCGGAGCACACGGATTATTACGTCGATCGCGACAGGATTTTGCCAGAAAATTATGGCAAAAGCGGAGAACCACCGATTTACCATGATATTATAGGTAACATTTTGATTCTTCTCAAAAAAACAGCTACAAAATCACTTTCAGCGAGTGGTGGTTTGACTACAATCACTGCTCAATCACTGCTCAAATATTTAATCATTTTCATGAGTGCCGGTAAAATGGATATTACGTCAAACTTTATGTCGATGCGTCAGTTTTTCAAACAGATGATTCGCAAGTTTGTCAAAAGAGCCGCGTCAAAAGTGATAGTGAAGGGTTACAAGTTGATTGTTTTTTGTTTCAGCAGAGAGTAAACATAAATATAAACTTCAGGTTCTCCAGGTATGCATAGGGCTATTGATATTTTATCAATCTTACTATATGCACTATGGATCCCTCAACCTTTACAATCTCTCAGTAACTACACGTAAGTACTTTTTTTTCTCGCAAGCTTGTACATTAGTAACTCGCCACGAATCTTTTCCTCGCAGCTTGGGAAGTCTTCTGGCCGTTGGTATTGTATTCCGTGGGCTATGTCGGGTCCATCCTGTTGGCCGGCAGGTGGGCGTCCCATCACAGCCCCCAGCGGCTTCTCAGCCACGGCCTGATCTTGAACGGTGTGCTGCACTGCGTCTACGCGATAATGATCCACCTATGGCCGTACCACCCGTACAATTACCCGGCGGTTACGTATCTGCTGTACAAACCCTGGCACGTGCTGCACGGCGTGGTCAATTCGTTCTTCCTACCCAGCGCCTACACCATCTTGGCGCGCAACGTGCCCGCACGCTATCGAGCCACCGTGGGTGAGTTGATTTCTTCTTTTTGTTACATAAATTACGTCGATACTTAAAATTATAGCTGATTTTTTTCGCTTTTTCCAGGCTCCTTGGTGCTGTCGATGAAGTGGTTTATTTTGCCCTTTTCGTGGCTGATCTCGTGCGTCTTATACAACACAGCCTTCATGGTCTTTGCCTTTATAACCGTGACTCTGGGTTCAATTTACATCTGGATCACCCGCAACAAAAACGACTCCTACGAATTCGTCGACCAGAAGAGCCCGAATTACAGACCGCTGGTACCGTGGTCAGAGATGTTTAGGTCGCTACCCGTGTGGACTCTCATCGTCACCCATGCAGTCTACTTCGCCACGCAATTCTACTCGCCACTCGGTCAGACCATGACCGTCAATTTTTACCATCTAACCACGTACGAAGAGCTGAGACTCCTGCAGTTTGAGCGAATCGTTTCCGAGCTTCCGCGCTTCTTCGTGGGGATCGCGTGCACTATGCTCTCGGGCTGCCTCTCGGACTGGCTGGTGGCGAAAGGCCGCTTGACCAGAGACAGATCCCGCAAGGTCTTTCAGTTTTTGGGCGGAGCGGTGCCGATGGGCGGCCTCATACTCCTCAGAGTCCTCTACGTCTCCTCCTTTCATACCTACTATCAACAAGATGTCTTTAATGTGGTGAAATTGGGCGTGCTGGTGTTTGGGGGGCTGGCTTGCGTCCAGTCCAGTGGCTTCTTGATCAATCACATGGACCTGAGTCCGTACTACGCCGGTTTGCTCGTTGCCATTTCCGAAGTCGCGAATCAAGTGGTCATGTGTTTGCTCATCTGGATCTTCGGCTTCTACGTGAGTATTATTGCTGAAACTTTTTATCCTTCGCGAGGGCAAACGATAAACGTTTTTGTTTGATTTCAGTCATCCGATGCCCTGACCATAATTCAGATGATCGCGGTTCCCATTTTCTGCATATTCGCCAGTTTCTTCTTCTTGATTTGCGCTAGAACAGATATTCAGAATTGGAGCCCGATCCCGTTGTCGTTGTTCCAAAGCCGTCAACCGACCTACGTTGGACCCCTGCAAAATCCATTTCATCCGAGCGATCTCTAAGAATTACGAAAAAAATATTTATTAGAACAAGTGGCGAAGATTAAATAAATTGAAATTCATATATTTTAAAATTTTTTTCTTGATATTTTTTTATGGACGAATATTATGTTAACCATCTAGTTTCTTAATTAGAAGCCGCGGTTAAAAAAAAAAAAAGTGTGATAAGAGGCATCAGGGGCAAGAGGTAAGGTGAGTTTCGAGGTAAAATGGAAAAGAAATAATAAAAGTAAGAGGCGAATTAATTCTACTAGTAAGATGAGAAAGCAAAATTAAAGGAAATTGGCTTCTGTTTGAAGGCGCGCGCGCGCGCGTAGAGCAGCGCGTCGAGAGATCGGCTTAATTGTAACGTCTCTCTCTCACTCTTTGAGGGCGCTCCTCTATTGCCACGCGGTATCTTTTTTCGCGCGCGCGCAAATTGCGCCGGCGGGATAAAATTAAAAAATGGCCGAATTAGCGGCTAGAGTAGAACAAAGTATCCAATCATCGAGTCGGTGCTAGAAAAACGAGCCGCGATACGTCATCGATGCTCCGCAGCAGCAGCAGCAGCAGCAGTAGCAGCGCAAATACCCGGCCGCGCGCGCGAGTTGAACGACCGAGTGCGCGTCGGGCTTCGAAGATTGACGCGGGAGAGGAGGTTGCGTATATAGCCGCGTAACGTAGCTCTCCAAAGAAAATGACGAAAAAAAGGGAATAAAGTACAGAGAGAGAGCGAGTGAGAGAAGAAGCTGCGTCGTTTGGATCGCTAGCTCCAGGCCTGGTGAAAAAAAGCGAGAGAGAGAGAGGAGAAAGAGAGCAGTGCGCCACGGCGTTAGCGTTGAGCCAGATGGATCGGCTATCGTTTGTCGTTCGCGACTTTCTCACACTCTTGATATTCACCGACTGATGCCGTAAAAATGGCCCGATTAGTTTCTCCCTGGCTATATACATTTGTGTGTGTATGTGTGTGTAAGTGGGTGGGTGGGTATGTGCACGGTACACGTATATAGACATGTGTAGGCGAGAGAGAGAGAGAGAAAGAACCAAGCGTTAACGGCCGTCGATGGGTGCTTTTTTCGAAGTGGATGCACGTTTGCGTGGTTTGCCGCTCGCTCGACACACGGACGTGTCGCGAAAGCCGTAGTAACACACGACGACGACGGCCCCGCGCGCTCTGCACCCGTCGATATTTACACACACAACGTGTGTGCGTGCGCGCGTCTACGTCATGTTTATACAAGTCTTTTGTTCTCGCGTTTATTGCCTGATTTTTTGCTCTTTCCCCGACTCTCTCTTGTTTTTTTTTTTTTTTGCTGCTATTGCCCTGACACGGGGTCTCTTGGCTGGCCGAGCTTGCGCACGCCCAAGCTTGAGTCCAAATCATCGCTGTACCGAATGTACCCGATAAACGAGCTTTTTTTCATTATACTCACACGCATAGGCAGTTTTCGTTCGTCGGACACGTTTTGCGAGATGCGCGTAGACGAAGGGCAGAGGATACAGAGGCGGGTGAAGAAAGGAAAAACGGGAAAGGGGGCGTAGATAGGATTCGGAAGATATTACAGGAGTATAGGCAGAGGGGGAGAGAGAGAGAGAGAGAGAGAGTGAGAGCGAGCTAGTTGAATATGCAGAGCGGTACCAGCCATTTGTAACGCGGCAAACTTCCTGTCTTTCTTTCGTCTGAGGTATTATAGCTTCGCGCAGCCTCCAGTCGCGGTAGTCGATCTTCCGTCGCTCTCACGCTTCGTGTATATATACGCGGGCGTATACTGCGTAGACAATGTGAGAGCGACGAGCTTTCGAGTCGACCCGACTTTATTGCTCACTTTTTCAAAATGTACAATTGGCTCGGGCTGGAAGAATGTCGCGGAACAAAACAAAACAAAAATTACAAAGAGAACAGGCGCGAGACGACTACACGAAACGTTCGAGAGGGTATACTTTGCAAGCTCGCTCGCTTCTTCGTCGCTGTCCTCTATTTTTCTCCAAATGTTATATTACTAATGCAGTGCGTCTGTTTTAATGCGGATACGATCGCGGATCGTCGTAGCGTACAACGTGGCACTAACGTGACATCGGTGTAAATTGGGGCCAAAAAAGGGAAAAGAAAGAAAAAAAAAGCAGGACGTAGGTTAAAGCAAACGCAGCATCAAACTCCCGTGTATACAGAGGCATAGGCGCTGCGGCGCGAGCTGCATAGCAACTGCGAATGATGCGTCATGACTGGCGCTCACGAGAACACACTCACATACACACACAATGCAGATACAATTGAGAATTTCAAACTCGAGCTCGTCGGAGCGCAGCGTTAATTTCGTGACGTCGCGCGCGCACGAGCTTGCGGGCGCTCTGCCTACATTGTGTGTGAGCGTGTGTGTGTGTGTGTGTACACGCGCGCTTGAGCAAGCAAAATTCTAGGATCGTAGCTGTATGTACGTATACATGTACGTGCGCGCGGCCTGTCACTGTCTCTCCCTCTCGCTCTCTAGCCTACTGTTATATGTATATGCCTGCGCGCAGTCTGTTATAGTACGGATCCTTTGAATTTTTGCCTCCTCTATATGAACGGGGGGATGCCAACGCTCTGCGTATACCTACACTGCTACATCGTATTATGTGTATCGCGCATAATGCGATGCGCGCAGCTGCGACATAGCGCGTACGCCGTGATGCAAGCTGCGCGACATCAGCGGCGGCGTCCTGTGCGAGCTCGCCTAGCCGCCTGTTGTTGCTACTGTTGTTGTTGCAAGCGTGCGTCGTGTGCTGTAGGCTGTGCGTTGCGAGTCGAATTGTCGTCAAGGACGAGGCGAAAATATAGGATTTTCTCGCTGCTCCATGTTAATTCGCACGTGTTCTCGGTCACCGGTAGTGGATTTTTTCCAAAGCGCGAAGCTTTTGACGAGCGAGAGAGCGAAAAAGTCAGACAAAGACGATTTTAAATTAAGAGGTTTATTTTCCGGTATCCCATATTTGTCTTACGTAACATTACTCCGTCGCACTATGTGCAAAACCTTTGAGTAACCTCTTGAATGTTCTATTACTTGCAATAAGCATATTTATCAGCATATTTATTTGCGCTGCTTGCGATTGCGAGCATGGCTTTTCTCGTGCGACATCAAGCGTATGCTGGTGGCCATGACGTTGGTTTTGCTGCACGTTAAGGGGCTATTCTACTTTATCCATTTCGCGATTGTTGATATTTGTTGAAATCGTACTTCAACTTATATACAATTTTTATTTTTCCGCTTGCAGATTCATGTCTTAAGGTACTCGCCATCTAGTGGTGAAGACTTGAATTATTTAAAATGGAACAAAACTGATCTGAATTTCATTTTAACAATTAAATTGTTATTTTCAGGTCATTTTAAATGCACGTAATATTTGTAACATAATTGTAAAAAAATTCTGGCGATCAATATAACGTGTGAATATTGACTTTCAAAAAAAGAAAGAAATCGTCAACTAAAAAGCTCATGAAAAACGTAGACCTACACAGTTGTACAACTACAGTTGAGAATTTTTATAGCTTAATGAGCTTTTGTCATCGGCAGCGCGCGGTACGATAAATTAGTCGATCGCCTTGACATAGGGGTAGATGCGCAAGCATACCATAAATTGCAATAGCGGCTGAGCTATAGGATCCGCACTCGTGTGCCTGAGCATTTGCGTTCACACACACGCGCGCGTGTACACGGAGTATACGCTGAAATCGGCAACAAAGCGAGGATCGAATCGCAAACGCCGCAGGACATAATAGCGCGAGAACGGCTCATCGCTAACGCAGTGGCAGCAGCAGCAGCAGCAGAGGCGGCAACGGGCAAACGTCCGACGATTTGCCATGGATTAGGGAACTGAACGATGGCTACTACTCACTCGCTGCCTGTTCACTCGGCTGTACGTTCGGTATACAGTGCGTGTATTCGATTCTCGTGCGCCTGTACACGCGTACTTATCTTATAGGCTGCCACTGCAACTGCATTTTATAATACCGTCGACTTTTTGCCTTTGCCTGTCGTATTTTCAGTTTTTCTCGCGCAACGTTAGTCAGAATAGGTATACTTATGAGTATAGGCGCGCAAGTGTCATCGCCGCGATCGTCCCCAGAAGCTACTTACAGGCCTCCGCTGCACACTGCCACTTGAAAACGTGACTGCGCGCGCGGCTATTTAATGCAGGCAAAGACACGCGGCGCGCATTCCATCGCGTGCACACATTAAGCCGCGAGACATCGTCACCTCTCCATACAGCCTTGACGAAGGCAAACGAAGCGTTATTGCTTTTTCTCGTTTGTGCTATACTCGCGACGCTGCGCTACATAATGTGTAACGAAAGGAAAAGTCAACGTAGCAGCAGCGGCAGGCAACAACACGTGGCGCAACGAGCCAATCTTTAAATGGTACAAATAACGGTTATTTATGAAAGTGAGCTCGTATACTTGCGGCAAGACTTACATAAAGTATAATGATAATAATGATAAACAATGATAATGATAATGACGCGTAGATCATCCCTATAGTAGCGGTAGAAACCGTAACACAATATCGTGAATCATCCGCACTGACAAATTCGAAAATATACATTATAAAACATTGTATATATCTCGGCATGGAAACCGAGCAGCAGCGCGGCACAGGGAGTGCAGTGTGTGCAGCGCTCGAGCTCTGGAAATGAATTTAATTAACAATCGCAGTTGCCGCGTGTATCGCTTGCATGCGATCGCTGCTGCTGCGACCTATCGTCGCCCATCATGGACTATAGTAGCTGCAGCACTGCGTCGCGCGTATCGCGTAAAAGCTAATACACGGCCAGGCGCGAGCGAGCGTGTAAACTATAATAGCTCGGTAAACAATCGCCGGCTGAAGCCAACGAGAAAGAAAAGAGACAGAAAGATCATAAATACGTAAACCGTATGTGTGCCTTTCTCAATAAATATTACAACGGAAAATCTTGCTGAATTAGATGAAGTGTATACGTATTATTTCTGCCTTTCCATTGAACGATGAAATTAGTCTCGGTCAAAAAATAATTTATCCCTATATTTTGGAGGTGATATAAAATAAAAATGACATTGATTGTTCGATATGATAATTTATTGGTGATTTTATGATAAAATAGTTTGCGAAATATTTCTAGACGTTACTTTTCGCTTCAAATGCTTTGAAACATCTTAGTTCGGACCTGAAGCCTATACCTATAGGATGTTAGGTAAATGATTTCTGACACAAGTTACACCTTGTCCCTTTAGCTTGTGTGGTGTAATAATCGATGAGTCTCGAAAATATATTTCGTTTCGAATGCCCTTTGGCACGTGAGGCACACGTAGTCTATTGGTTCTTGGTAAAAGGTTTTTTTGGGTTTTGCAATATTACGATTTTTCAAAAATGTTTTTTGATTAGCGTCACTTTCGTAGTCATTTCGTCCTTCATGAACTAATTTTTTGTGTTTTGTCAATTCGTGTTGTCGTGTAAATATTCCTTGGCAAGCGTCGCATACGTAATCTCTTTGTCCTTCGTGAATAGTTTTGCGATGAGTTTCTAAGTGATTTTTTGATGCAAACGTTTGTTGGCAAACGTCGCAAATGTGATCTTTTCGTCCTTCATGGACTCTTTTTTTATGATCTGTCAAATTATGTTTACTTCGAAATGCTTTTTGACATACGTCGCAAATGTGATCTCTTTGTTTTTCGTGAACTACTCTACGATGACGTGTTAAGCTGCTCTTTATTGTAAACCCTTTTTGACACACATCACATACGTAGTCTTTTCGTCCTTCGTGAACAGTTTTACGATGACTTTTTAAGTTCCGATTATTTAAAAACACTTTTGAGCACACGTCGCATACGTAGTCTTTTTGCCCTTCGTGAACTAATTTTTTGTGTTTTGTCAAATACTGATTAGTTCTAAATGCTTCTTGACACACATCACATACGTAGTCTTTTCGTCCTTCGTGAACAGTTTTACGATGACTTTTTAAGTTCCGATTATTTAAAAACACTTTTGAGCACACGTCGCATACGTAGTCTCTTTGTCCTTCGTGAACAGTTTTACGATGACGTTCCAACGTCATATTTCTTATAAACCCTTTTTGACACACATCACATATATAGTCTTTTCGTCCTTCGTGAACAGTTTTGTGATGGGTCTGTAAGCTGTGATTTCTTGCAAATGCTTTTTGACACACGTTGCATACAAAGTCTTTTCGTCCTTCATGAATGGTTTTGTGGTGATTTTTTAAGTTCCAATTAGTTAAAAACGCTTTTGAGCACACGTCGCATACGTGGTCTTTTCGTATTTCGATGGTATCGGGTTGTTTTGTCGAGCTCTGTTCAATCGCAGACGTCTCTGGGTACATTTGATATTCGTAGGAGTCTCCTTTTCCTACGAACGTTATTGTAAAGCGTCTAGTCACACTCTCTTGAGTTGTGAATGAATTTTGACACATGCCACTCGCGTAGTTTTTTTGATCTTGGTCCATTGTTTTCGGTTGATCAATAAAGATGAGTATCCAGAAATGTTATTGAAACTGATGAAAACGTTAATTTTGTGACTTTCAAACCAGTAATCATGAGTAAAAATGGAATTTAAAAATTGATTAAAAGTTTGGGATACTCACCAACTAACATTTATTACTGAATTATTAATTAGATTCAAGAAACACGCGTTTCAAATCAAAAGCTATAACCATAATAAACTACTAACTGTACAGAGTACATACACTTTTGTTGAAAGTATTTACAAACATTAGTTGAGCCATCATATTATTTATAATATACTAACGGAATTATTTCGTACTTGTCTTGTAGATCGAACTTAAATGTATTTTTTTTCGTAGAAAATCAAAGCTCAATATTCCAAATAGATTTCATGGAATGCATATGAGGTTTTCAATTGTAATAAAGTTGTTGAACACTCTTTTGGTCTTATATAGTGAAAATTTTTTAAACACCTTTTCCTACGCGTCGTACACGGAAAAAAATCGTGGTATGCATTACGAAATTTTTGATGCCGCAAATAACCATTTATTTACGCCAACTATAATATTTTCGGTATAACTAAAATCTATCTTAACAGTTATAAATAGCTGTAAATTTGTTACAAAAACTAAAAATCTACATTGTATTTTAAAAATATTATACAAAATTAAATGTATTTTTAATTAATTTAACCAAAACAACCAGCTCGTTGAGAATGGAATGACACCTGTGCAAGTCAACAATAGGATATATCGATGCGCATAAGTACGACTCGCGATATCGGATCTTTTGAATTGTCAAACTTTATTGGGAGAAAAACAAAGTTTGGCGAGGTGTTTAAAGAGAAAAAAGTTCGAACGGTGCTAAACAACACTCGAAAAACGATGAGAAAGGTGGAGCTCACATTATAGCCCGTTACATGTTACGTTATTCCGAATTGAAACTTTGAGACTCCAGAGCGAGATGGAACCCTTATGAAGGAACTAGAGTTCTGGTGCAGAAGGGGTCAATAAATTTCGAACCTTTGATTATCTTATCTGAAAATCAAAGAAACTAACATATTTTTATTCAAGAATATCAAGACCAGTAAGTTACTACTTGTTACTTGTAAGTTACTAGTATCTATTATTTTAATTGTATCCATTATTATGCTAATAGGTTACTAGTAGGTTATTAGTAACCGACACCTGAAAACAGCAACATTTTTGTGACTAAAGCACCCGCGCGATGACACGTCTTGCGGCCTATCAGCCCCCGTCACCTACATCTAGAGATCGAACTGAAGCACAGGACGGAATTAAGTATAGTCATGAATTTTGAAGGGAGGCTACGTATTGCACCGCACGCACTACTATACAAAAATTTGAGTCATGCGCTGGTGCCGAAGCCTCGTGCGGCTCGATCGCAGTTGCCTTTCGAGCCTCCCCGAAACATCACTACAAGATTTGCACTCGTTACACGTCGCCAAATGACACCGTTGATGTGAAAAGAAAAAAGTGTGCAAAACGCTGAGAAAAGAATAATAATTGAGGTTAACGTCGATACCACAGATTTCTAAGGCGAAGGAGAGAAAAGCTTCGCGACGACGACGACTTCGTTGCTTTGCAAGAAAACGGCCGTTCACGCATATTACATTATAAGGTACGCCTTTACCGCGAAACTATTAACGCGGCTTTCGAAAACTACGTTTTTACGATCACGCGCGCGCGATCATCGTCATAGAAAACTCGTGTGGTTTCTTTCCTCTCTCTCTCTAGCTCTCGTCTCACAGAGCTTACGCACGTTTGTACTTTACGTAACGCTATATATATTTTCTGACCTGCTCGCATACATATTTGCACGTATATTTTCCTTTTGGTTTTCAATGTGCAGCTCTGGGCGTTGAATGGCGTTCGTTTTACGCCTTTTTTTACGTCATTACTTCGACCACTTTTGGAACGACATCGTAGACAAAGCTCGAACGAGTCGGTTGTGTTATACGATTTTAAGAATCGTTGCTATTTTCTCCAACGGACGTTTGATGCAGCTTTTTCTTTACTCCGCAGACACTCGACCGCAACTTCACGTCGTTCGAATTTTGCAACGGGCGCGAAGACGATTCGAACGTCCACGCGATCGCTGGGGTCAATGCCAAGATTTTGGCGGGCATCGATCAGTCTGCGGAAGAATCTCGCCTCGCGAACACCACACGCAACGGTGACACACACATGCATCCTTCACAAAAAAACTCGAGGCCGTTAGTGCTGTTTTGGAGCATCGCGACAAAGGTACGTGCGTATACACACACACACACAAATACACACTAATATCAAAAATTGTAACACAACGTATACAGCTAAAAATGTAACCTATCGCGAAAGTTTCGTCAACGGAATTGATCGCGCGGACTCGTTCCGAGCTTTGAAAAAAGAAACGGTTACGAACGCACTCAAAAAATTCGCAAAAAAACTCGATACGCTTATATGGTGTACGATACGCGGAGCTGCCTATCGTCTGGCAAAATCTTTTGTCTCTCTCGCTCTTTCTTGTCGCGAATGTAACGTAGGTCTAGATATCGATATGCGTACATTGCGAATGTCTCATTGGAATATCGCACGCCACCGAGAGTGTAACGTACAATATCGGCGGCCGTTGCGCAAAACTATATTCGAATCGACGTTTACACAAAAGTATCTAACTAACTTACGCGCACGGACAAGGTATAGCGCAACGGCAATGAAGGTTATTAACGGACGAATACGAATCGCACGAACGGATCTCGAATGCGCCACTAATTCGAAAACTCTCACTCCGAAAAATTCTGGCGGGAAAGGCGCGTAAGTCGCAAAAAAGTGGCCGGTGCATCCGAGCAAATATAAGCCAAGCCGTGCACTGCAGCAGCGCGCGGCGGCTCCAGAACGCGCCGATGGGTGCCGGCCTCTCGCAGGCGTTTCGCGAACCTCGAGCTGCGTTATATACATCATGGTGATGGTGGTGTGCACACACACGTACACGTATATGTATCGCGTGTGCGCCTCCGTGTGTGCGAAACTGCCGCAGCCGCTGCCGTCGCCGCCGCGCAAGCCCCCCCACTTTTGCGCGAAATCGAGCTCGTTGTCGACCGGCGGCCGCGGCGGCGCCAGCGGAGCTAGCAGCAGCAGCAGCATCAGACCGAGCCGCATCTCGGTTCAGCTAGACGACGCCAGTCACCTTTGGGCGCTCTCGCGCGCTTAATCTCACGTCATCCTCTCGCACATTCATGTGTATACACTATATGTATACATCAATATATATATACAATATATACATATATTTACTCTTATATACTCCATAATATACACACAGTTCAACGTACCCACACACGTACATAACACAACACGCTAATATCTATATACAAAAAACTTGACACACATATATAGATCTGTATATGTGAACGTGTTGGTTATTATTGTTGTTGCATGTGAAACACGCGAATGTATATAGAGTATAACAGATGAAGTCATACGTGTTCTGATATACGTACAATCACGTGCGTGGGGCATCGATCAGTGTCGTATCATAACTTTTGGTCTTCAAGATCAACAACAACTGCAGCAGCAGCAGCGCGTCAAGCTCACGCTTTTCGGAGTCGTCGACGACGGAGCTCGTCTTCGTTGTTATTATTTTTTTTTTTTTCAAAAAAAGAGTGCGTCGGTGTGTGCGCGCGTGTCAGTGTGCATACGTTTATCATTATCAATCATATTGAAAAATCCACGATTATAGTTGAGTGTTGTTGTTGAGTGCTCCGAAAAATATCATCGTCGCCATCGACAAAGACAGAAGCGCAAAGTCTTTTTTAAAAGTGGAAAAATATCACCTTTCTCTCTTTCGTCATTCTCGTCAAGTGTCTCCTCTCCTCGTCGTCAAGTGAATATGTAAAGTTTTTTTTTCGCGCGTGCGTGTATTTCATACATATTATATATATATCTATACGTATAGTGAGTGTGTCTGTGTCGTCGTCTGTGTGCCGCCGGCCGGTGCTTTGCTTATACTACAGCACGAGCAAAAGCGAGCGAGGGAGGGAGCCTATATACAGCAACAGCAGCAGCGGCGTCGGTGTATCTGTGCGTGTGGGTGTGTGTTATCATCGAGTCGAGGCTTTACTACTACTACCACTACTACTACTACTACTACTACCACCACCACCACTGCAACTACTACGAGCACCACTAGCAGCAGCAGCAGCAGCAGCAGCAACAGCCAGGCCAACGTCTGCGTTAGCAGAAAAAAAAGTGCGCTGCAGCACTGCACTGCACTAGCACTGCAAGCGAGACGAGTCGGCGCGCTCGGGGATGCTGCTGACGACACCGTGCCAGCAGCGAAAGCTCCTCTGCCGTAACGTCGCTACGTCGTCGCTCTCGTCATAACCTCTCATTTTCGCGCAAAAGCACACCCCTGGATTCTCGGGGGCTGCTCTCTGCTCTGCTCTCTTCGTGTTCTAGCCAGCACAGCGCAGCGCTGCACAGCTTTTCGCGCCATCGTGCCGAGAGCCAGCAGAAATAAATATATATAGGCTTTGTATAGCACGCGCGCCTCGAAACGAGATATCAACTACTACTACTACTACTACTTCTACTACTACTACTACTACTACTACTACTACTATTGCTACTACTCCCCCGTATTTCGGCGCATACACACGTAAAATAACGTCTGTACGTCATATACGTTTTATTCTATCGTACCTACGTACGCTTTCTATAGTGTCTGTGTTTTTTCAATCTATATAAATATATTCATAAAAGTATATATTATATATTAAATATAATAAAAAAGTGTTCGTGTATACGTGTGTGCGTTTTCTCGAAATAGTTTCATCTTTGTTGTTGTTTACGTCTCTCTCGGCTCTGGAATTTCATTGGCAGCGACACTGTCATCATCATCGAAACGAAGGGAGAGAGAGAAAAAAGAAAGTGTTTAATAATCGAGTGTGTTGTGTGCTGCAACATCGGTATTATAAACACACACAACAAGCGGCAGTCGGAGAGAAGAGAGAATATACATCGATAATTGCTTACGATGAGAAATACGTTGTCGGTAGTGCTATTGCGACACGTGCCCGCCATTTCTTCGCTCGGTATTTAACGAATTGACAAAGTGTTTTTTCTCGCGTGTGAGTGTATATGTACGCTTTTACGTACTACGTTTAAGCAGCAGTGAAGGAATTCACGTATTTTTATTATATATCTAGTGGTGATCAGTGCCGTCTGTCTCTATCGTCAGGCCGAAAAGGGTGCGCGTAAAAATATAATAAGCAGTGCGCGTGCGACCATTCACTTACAGTTCAAAGTTAAAAGAAAAAGCTAAAAAGCACAAAAGAGAGAGAAAGAGAGAAGGAGAGAAAACTCGAATATTTCACTGCACTCTCTGCAGTTTATTATCGACTAGTGCGTGGAGTTTGTTCATTCGTTCGTTCTTGTGGCAGCAGATTTTGGTTTCATCTTCGTCGAACACACAAACATCAACATGGATATACTACCAAGCGGTAATATATTCCGGGAGCTGCAGTTCGTGCACGAGACCGGCTACTTCCCGGCGCATCCATCGCTCGAGGATCATTGGCAACAGGTAAAGATTGATTTCATCATGTTATAATGTGTATACGTCACGCGTGTACGTAACATACAAACACACATGTGGTACTTGCATATATATAGATTTCGGAGTAGCTCGTTCGCGCGGCATGAGAACGAAAAGAGCCCAAGTGCACACGCAAGCTCGCGCGCGATCACCCACGCACGCACGTGTGTGTGTTTTTGTTTTGCGGGCGCGAGTGTGTAAACATATATAGCTATATATAAAAGTGTACGCAATATTTACTACAGCTTACATAGTCGCTCTCACTCGCGGGACAAAAAGGTCGGTAACCTTATTTCACGACGTATCGAATTTCGAAATGCCGTCTTTGTTTTGATTTTCGACTGCTTTCTTATGTATCTTTCCCCTGTTGCTGCTGCTGCTGCTCTTTATCGTCCCTAATACAACTCGCTCGAAGCGCATTTTGTGTATACACGCGGCTTGTACAAAAATACATTCACCCGGCGACACACATGCGATTAAGCTCCGCGTGTACACACATACTTATATTTATCGTTCTTAATGACATTTCGAAAGAAGAGCTCGTGTAGAGAGGGGTCAGCAGAAGCTCACGCGGTTTGTAGTAACAGCAGCAGCAGCTGACGACGTTTACAATCGCCAGCAGTCGCAGTCTCTCTCCTCTTTTCTTTCTCTTTTTCTCGCAGGCTATTTCAATTATTTTGAGTGCACTTTATGACTGTCTCGCTAGCTCGCGCTACCTACTCCACACGCAGTACAATGGTAAAGATATAAGCCCACACACACACACTCACACGCACAGATACACACGGTGGTTAAAAGCTAATTTATCTAAAGAGTAGACCCGACCACAGAGGACGGTTGTTGCTGTTTTTTTTTGTTTTGTTTTTTTAACTTGACGTGGAAAAAAACACTCGCTCCAATTTTCGGTATTACAGCTCTTTAAATTTGTCCAAAAAATAAAAAAATAAAAAAAAACATCGTGAAAAAGACAGAGACAGAGAGAGGAAAAAAGCGACTAAAGCTCGCGCAGCCTCGTTTTTTTCGATGAATCATTGCCGCACAGGAGAGTGAGAGAGAGAAAAAGAGAGCTATATACCGAGCGAGTGAGCGTGAGTAATTGGAAAACACGAGAAAAGTTTCGTTTATATCGCGTTGCCGCCACTGCGACGTCGAGCGACGACTCTGCAGAAAAGTTTGTATATGTAGAGAGAGAGAGAGAGAGAGAGAGAAGCTAGGCGAGTGAGTGAGAGAGGAGAGAAGCTGTAGCTCTCCCTGTAGCCCAGCTACCTTCAAGTTATGTGGCAGTTTGAGTTGGCTTTGAAACGGAATACGCGATTTCGCGAGAAATAAGTTATTCGGTTTACATGAACACGAGGAAAGGCAGACCTAGCTAGCTGCCTGCCTAGCAGCAGCAGCAGCAGCAGCAACGAGAAAGAGAAAGACAGGAACTTTGTAATTCGAAAGACAAATAGGTAAAAGCTCGCTATACCTAGACATGTATATACGCCGTTAATTTAAGGGGGAAAAGAGGGAAAGGGGACGACGGCTGAGGTACATTAGAGTCTTGGAAAGACGTATTTCGAGCTACATACACGCGCAATTAATCCTCCTCCTCCTCCTCTACGCAGGCATTATATTTTTCTTCGCTAATTAAAAGATAATTTTCGAACTGCCTCGCGTCGATGTTTTAACTGTGTCGAGCTTGCACACGCACACTTCGCGCGTCCACGTTTACAGCAGTGTTCTGGTATATAAGCGCTAAAAAAGCCCAGTTATTACTCGCTCCGCGAGCTCCGTTTCGAATTTTTACACGTATGTAACGAGCTCGTGTATGTGTAAGTTAGTGTGTGTGTGTGTGTGTGTGTGTGTGTGTGTGTGTGTGTGTGTACGTATGCAAACGCGACCCGACGAGTCGCGCCAACAACTATAGAAGCGTTACATAAAAGTTTCCAGCGCAAAAAACAGTTATCACACCGAAGCGTCAACGCGCCAACGCGAGAGAATAAAAGTCATAGGTGTTTTGCTGTGTAGCGCGCCTCTTCCGTCGAATATCGCTCTCTATATATACATATAAGCCGCGGCAACGACGGCCGTGCAGTCGTAAATTCGAAAAAGTATAACTCATTGCCGAGTCGACGAAAAAAAACAACTGCTGCCATTGCTGCTGCTGCCGTTTCTGGCACGGCTAGTGCTCTGTTGTTTGAGCCAGGCGCGTCGATCGTTATAAGTGTCTCCGCATCAAACTTTCGATTCGCATATAACAGTTGTTGCACCGCGTCTTGTATATATACTTCGATCGAGGTGTATTATGGTGTACATTGTAACAACTTCGAAATTATATCGATGCCTCGTTTTATTAATTCAAAGACGTCGACGTCATCGTTATTGGACATAATTAATGAATAAAGAATGCCGTGTACGCGGCGATTAATAATTCTCCGAGGCAGTGATTATACCTTCCTATAGGAATTCGCATTCCACTGTGGAGAGAGCGACAAAGATAGTTTAATAATTACAATCAAGCGTAGTTTCGCTTACCTTCTCCGCCGTCCATCAACACTGCTCGAAACATCGATGCATGAATTTTTGACGATATTTTATTCAACTGCAGATATGTAAATACTCTGACGTGTATAAAATTAACAGAAAAAAAGGTCGAGTAAAAGCTCTGAAAATTCTCTCTCGTGATACGTATAATGACGTCGATATTTTCGTTACACGTTTGATCAAATATTTAAACAGTTGCGCGCGTGTATTGTATGTTTATATCAATAATCGACTTTTGGCCGCTGCGTCAGATTGTAAAATTGCAGCGCGCGTAAATACACTTTGATACTCGCCGAATTTGTTGCAATCCGTGAGAGACAGAGAGACAGAAATATTTTAACCCCCCTCGGAAAATAACAAGAACTTCAATTCGCACCGATTAATCCTTTTAATTCGGGACGCGAGGCGCGCGCGTACATCCTCTGCAGATATAACAGCATCGTTGCAGTGTATATAGCTGTGAAAGAGAGTAAATTCGAATCGAATCCACTGACGTGTCTCATTATTAAGAGCGGCGTCCAGGAATTCGATTTCGTTTGACGAAGAGCAATGGCAAAAAAAAGCAACTAACGAATCGCATACCCGTCGTTGCTGTTGCTGCTGTTGTTGTGCTTTTCTCGCGAGCTTATTTTATACACGCGACCATTCATTTGTTGAGAAATTTCCTTTCGGCGATCATCGTGACCGATGATGGCACGATGACGATTCGAAGGACAGGCCACATGTAATGTTATTCTTGTTGTCTTGACATAAATTCGCTCGACTCGATCAATCTCTTGTTTACGCATATTTGAGAGAGAAAAAACAGCTCTCGTTATGCGAGGGGGACTTTGTTCTGTGAAAAAAGAAAATGTGCCGATACGCACAGTTGCGAAAAATCATTAGGTTCAACGACTCGCTTTGCGCTCGCTTCTTATTTGTCTCGGATTTCCAAAGTCGTCCCCGTCTATCCAATTTCAATGGTCGATGAAAAAAAACACACGCTCGCGTTCAGGAGGGAAGAGAGAGAAAAAAAGAGTCGCGTCATGAAAAAAACAAGGAATAAAAGTCAGCAGCAGCAGATATATGTAAGTTACGTTACGGCGACGACGACGACGAGGAGTGCAGCTCATCCGCCACGTGACTTAGCTAGCTCGCTTCAGCTCGACTCGCTGAAAAGAATGTCATCGCAAGAATGACTAGGTATTAGAGGCACGCGTTGCGCACGGCGAATTCGAGACTCTTTCCTCATTGTTGTATCCTCGAGATTTATCGATTCTTTGAGAAGTACGCGACGAGTGTACCGATAGAATTCTTTCCCTGCTGCTACTGCTGCAAGCTCGACTGCTTGCTCGAGAGCCATGGGCTGGACTTTATTTATTCATTTTATATTTTTTTCTCACAAGTATACGTAAAAAACATTCCGGATCGTGGACGAAAAGTAAAATGAAATTATTCGTCAGCGTACGCCATTCATCACTCGTTGTTGAGCTCTAAAGCGTCATCGGGGATCGATGGTCCTGCAGTGCGCAGCTACTGCTACTGCTGCTGGCTGCTGGCGTATATAGAAGGGTAACGTGACTTATGCGGGTTCGTAGGAAAATTGCACAGGGGCATTATTATGACGCGTGACGAAAGTGCATCGACGGGAGATTTAGTGGACGCCTGGAGGACTACAACAACGTCGCGACGTCGCCAGCGTCGATCGCCAAGCGTCGAGCTGAGTCCGTCGCCCCTCACACCCGCGGGATAAGTGGAGCCACGTCGTGTATACGTCGTGTATATATAAGTTGCTCGCGCGCGCGCGCAACAGTGCAGCACACAGATATCCTATCGCAATGTGACATCTCTCGCACGAAGAAGCGAAGGGAGATAGATAAGCGCGCCGAAACATGGCTATATAATATTTATGTACGCGTGATGAGCACGAGACATCGCGAGAGTAGAGCTACCGAGTAACATCTGCGAGAGATCGGAGCATCGTGAGCGCGTCCCTCGTTGCTCGCTGCACACGCAGAGAGCTTTTATGTACCAGTGCCGAAGCGCAACGACGATAAACGACGACAAAAACAGCGCGACAACGAGTTTAAAGTCACACACATACAGACAGAACGCGCTCGACGATAGACGCGTGCGTACGGGCGAGTGCAGAAAGAGACGACGTGCGAGAGAGAGATCGCGAAATAATAAAGAATCCAGTCACGAGGGCCCGATGTGGTTGGCGGCATAATTTTCCCTATCAGCCTCTCTTGTCGAAAGAGAAAGGCAGCGATAGAGAGAGACAGAGGTAGGGAACGTGCAGAGCTTTTGTCTGTGTGCGGCTATATCTGTTCCGGAAAAGCTGCCACTGCCGCGCCGCTGCTGCTGCTGCTACTGCTACTGCTCCGGGTGGTAGTGATGGCGGTGATGGTGGTGGTGGCGTCGTTCACGACGTCGACTACTACGACGACGACTGCTATTGCTGCCGCTGCTGCTGCTCGTCA